GTCGCCACTCGATGACTTTACTGCCCAACGGCCATCTGTCCTACGAGCTATGTGCCCTGCCCATTGCCACTTCAGAGTCGCAATTCTTCGGGCCATGTCGGTCACTCTGGTTCTTCTCAACAAACATTCTCATGAATAAAAATGTCCGCACGGTGGCAGGAATTGAACCAGGTACCGTCAGAATTAAGGCAGTGTGAACCTAAACCACCAAGGTCAGGACAACAACGGCTGGGAGATTTTAACAGAATTTTCACTCGCTAATATTCTAATAAGAAAACTGAGGCTTTTTTGTAATAAAATTTTATTTTAAGTCGCGAGTAACAGTTAGTTAAACAATATTGATGGCCTCGGTGGTCTAGCGGTTTAACACAACGCTTTTCTTCCGATGGTCGCGGGTTCGATTCCTCGCACTGTGCAAATATAGATAAGTTTATATCGGACTGGATATTTTCTACGTATATTATGTATGTATTTACAAAGAAAAAGAGAATGTAAGTATTTATTTGAGTTGTCTAGTACCCATAACACAAGCTCTGCTTACCGTGGGACTAGATGGCGCTGTGTTAATTGTCAAAAAGGAATATATATCGGGAACCACATATAAAAACTACAGTCCACACTTACCCACAGACCTTTACCAATAAATATCCAAAAAGATCCGTTATTCAATACGTTCAGTAACTATTATCTGAAATAACGACGTATTTAGGTACAGGCAGCAATAAATACAAGACATCGGCCGCGGTACACTGGGCCCAATAAATTTATTGTAAAATTGAGATGTATGAACGAGATCTAATCTACCTGTGGAGATTTATAAGTGGAATTAGATTTATTTCGGTTGGAAAATGTGTCGTCTGGGTAAAGGCACTCGGTGGCGGTACGAGTGGACGGTCATTGTAAGTGTATTAGAAAGTTTCTCGTTTTTTGTTCCCTTATTAGTTTAGTTAGCCTACTTTAAAAGAGAATATAATTAGACTATATTTTTTATGTGTGTTTACGATATATGTTTATCAATTGTGAACCGTTTTAAATGACAATACATGTCTCTTACTGTCTGTGTGTGTGTTAGCTATTTTCAAGGTGAATTAATTATGATGATCCTTCCTTATATAAATTGTATTGCTTTACATCTGTTCCAATTGACGTCTTAAAATTTGGCAATTCTTCTTTCTTCTTTGAAAGATAGTGTTTTTCATCTGTTTTAATAGACAACCTCGGTAGTCTAGTGGTTTATCACATCGCTTCACTACCGACGGTGGTGAGTTCGATTACGAGCACGTTACAAACATTCGAATTCATGAGTATGATTATTTGTCTATATGTTTTTGTTTTAATATACTAAAAATTTTATGTAAGTATTTTTTTATCATTTAGCTAGTAACCATAATACAAGCTCTAGTTAGCTTGAGACTAGATGGCGTTGGGTGTACTGTCCGAGGATGGTTTAATATTGTAATACGCTTATATTGTAATGTTTGTATATATATTATTATATGTATATATTGTAATTGTATATTGTATCGTGCGAGGAATCGAAGCGGTGACCACCGAAAGTAAAGTGGTGTACTCATGCAATTCTACAATACTTTGTTACAATGACTATGTAGGGTACATCTGCTAAATATAAAAAAAATGAATGTACATTAACAAACAAATAGAGCAACCTAATAAACATTTGCAACTTTTACTCGACAATAGCAATTAAAAAAGCTACCCGAATATTTAGTAATTGCAACCCTAAAATTATTAAACAATAAAAAAGTAAAAATGCCCAAACGAACCCGCTGTTGAGATAAAAAAAAATAGCGAAACAATTCACAGAACGAGATCGTGATTCGTAGAAAAGAAATTTTGCACAATCTTTTCTCTCGTTACAAGGATACGTTCAGTTAATTGTTTTATTGGTGTTCAGTGACCGTTATAGTTAAACGGTGTTTTAGGGTCCGTCCGTCCGTTATACGGTTCCCGTGACGTCACGTTTTTTTGTGTGATCCTTTTTTATGGGATTGTTGACTTACTACCGGTTGATTTTTGTCTTGTTTGCGTTAGTTTTGAAGATTGATTTGAAATTGGTAGATAAAAAACAAATTGATATGACTATTCAAAAGTGCTTAAATTAAGTTTATTTAAATAAATAAACAATTTTCTGTTATATTTTATTCTATTCTATTCTAATTATTAGAGGATATATTTGTATAATAGCTGTACCCGCGACTTTGTCCGCGTGGAATTTAACTTTGTTTTTCTAAAATAAAAGTAGCCTAAGTTCCTCCTTATTACATCAGCTACCTGCCACAAAAAGTCCCGTCATGATCGGTCCAGCCATTTCAGAGATTAGCAGACACAAACAGACAGACAGTTAAAAATTGTAAAAAATGTTATTTTGGTGTATGTATCGTATTTATATTCATATGCCTGTAGTAAAAAACGGTTATTTCAATATTACAAACAGACACTCCAATTTTATTTATATGTATATATGACAAAGTGCCAGGACCCTATTATGCAAATGCGCGCATAATTTACTGAGACAAATACCTCGTAACTTAATGCATGCATTCATATAAGCAAGTAAGTATTGTACCAGCCGGGCGTTTACGGAATCACCATAAACGGCCACTTAGCTTATGTTTACTTAGAACTTACCAGTTTCCCTATTTATAAGCTGGTTAAGTTTGCAAATGCACTCTAATTCATTTTATGACCTCTTGCATTTTTATATAACTACATTGCAATTATTAAATTTATTGTTAGGTAAGGTCCAAGATGCTGATGTATATACAGAAGCCTTGCTTTCCATAATTAATAAAATGAGATTATTTTTATCATTGTATAGTTTAAGTAGTATACATATTTTTAAAATATAAACGTATAATTAGCTGTAAGTTTATATTATGTTAATTAAATAAAAAAAATGTGAATACTATATCTCAGTACAATTCACATAGTGTCATCTAGACACGTGCTAAGCAGAGCTGGTGTTATGGGTACTAGACAACTGATACAAATACATTGATTTTTTTTGTAAACACATACAGAAAAAGCATAGAGAATACAAATGTAAGATTAACACCAGAGCAAGATCTAACTCATGAATACAAATGGTGCCGTGCGAGGAATCGAACCTGCGACTAATGAGGGTAAAAATTATGTTACAACAGAAGCAATGGTACTTGGTTCTCTCTGTCTATCTATATAAGGATTTTTACGTAAGAATAGAGATAGGTTGATACCGTGCGAGGAATCGAACCTGCGACCATCGGAAGTAAGTCTACTAAACCGCTAGACCACCGACGCTTAATGAGGTAAAAAATTATGTTACGAAAGAAGCAATGGTACTTGGTTCTCTCTGTCTATCTGTATAAGTACGTAAGAGTAGTTAAATAGATAGATAGATGTATATAAATATTTTGATACGATATTAAACTGTTACAGGGCGTGAACACAGCTAGTGCAACCAAATCGAAATGAAGACAAAAATAATTTTAAGCAGAATAAAGTATTTAAGTACTTAAAATTATTTTCAATATCAAAATATACCATTTAAATCCTCATTTAAAAGTTATTGTAACAGTAAAACAGTTTTGTTATTTTTTATAATACAAAAGGCTCTGCCAAAATTACTATTGTTCAAACAACGACCTCCATTGTTCTTGTTCTTGCGATTTGTTAACACGACACACCGATTTGCGATTTGTAATCGAGTGATATCTAATCGAATTAGTCATTTAAATAGAACAATAACTCATACATACGATTTTATCTAATCTCGATCATCAATAGGCGATTTGTGAAGATATTTTATTACATTGAAAGTAAAAGTCGTGTGTCGGATCTTCTTCTACTTTCTTCTATGGCAATCGGCCGTTTTTTTTTTCTTTTTTCGAACTTCTCTAATGCTGTTGGCCGCAGCTGGCCTTTACAACTTCACCGGACGATAGGGGGCGAGTGCAGATGGCACTCCAAACCCGCGGAAGGACTTATGGAGCGGCTGAAGGCCAACTCACGCCTGACGGATACGACTTTAGTCTGAGTGCCGCTAGGGATTCGAACAGGGGGTTCGAAGGGGTTCAGGCCGTCGTAATATCGATCCCCGTTTGAATTAGACCGGAGATCGATCTCAGGGAAAATCGTTATTTTTACGACCATATACCAGCTGTATGTAGCATATAATAGTGGCTTGTGTTTTTCTGTCTTATGAATGATAATGGAATGATGCACCCGTCTGCCCTAACGGTTTACGCTGGCGGAATACCAGTGGAGGATGATGAGATAAGTATGACGTCAGATCAGTTAGCCCATCTTGGTAAATTAACAATTTAAGGTCCATCGGTCATAGATAGATAACTGATAATGCCTATTATATATGAGATTATAGTCATGAATATATATGTATTTATATGGGTCATCTTCTGTTTTGTTTGAGATAAAACTTAGCGCAGGAATCGAAGTTTGTTTGCTCACACGATACAAACATTTGTAATCCTAAGTTCGACTTCAAATTTTATAAAACTACGTTCAGCCATTTAGTTTTAAAATAGATCAGATAGACAGACACACTTTGGAATTTATAATATCAGTATGGATTATTTTATTACATTTTTTATATCATATTACACAAATACCATCGTTGATTCACATAAGCCAACTTTCTATCGATCCGACATTTTAATAATTACCTACAACAGGGCATTATATGAAAAAGAAAACCTCCAAGACGCATTAAACTATAGAGTTACGATAATCGCGTCGCGATCTATAACGTCGCGCGTATCGTTTTATTAATCGCGCTTCGAACGCAGGCGCAGGCGCAGTGGCAAAGTTCACGCTATCCCACCACGGCACCTAGACCGGTAACGCACCGAGAGTTAGAGACAGAGATAGGTGCGGCGAGCTCGTGCGAGTGATAGAGACAGCGATACGGATAGACGTTGCGTTAGAAGTTAGCCACGCCCCCTCAGCATTCGAAGCTCCGAGTCCTCCTCCACGGGCATTCGTGCGCGCGCGCCGGGCCAGCAACACGCGACCCGTGTTCGAATTTCAAATTTTCGAAAAATGGAATCGTAACCGCGAATGCAATTCAAATAGAAAATGGCCAGTGTTCGGACTTGTTAACTATTATTTTTGTTTTAGATTTTTTTTTAATTATAACATTCGTAGACTGTTGAACGGTGTGTAAATAGTTGTAGAAAAGACAATAAACTTAGCAGTGTGATTGTTTAGCGTATCGGCAGATTTCAGTTTGCGTTTTCAGTTAGACGAGCCCTGTAAATTGGTCGCGACGACACTCTTGTTTGTTTTCATCGAAAGTGACTCTGCTGTGACATTTGAAAACGATAGTATTCGTAATTGAGGCAGTGCGCATGCGTGTCGCCTAGTGAAATTTATTGACTTAGCGAAATTTTGAAAATTAACATATACATTGTGAAGTGCATGTGGGATTACATAGCGCACTGTCAGCTGTTTTACATTCAAAATTCACACCAAAGAAATAAAGGTAAGTGGTGTTATAATTTCATTATTATTTGTTAAAGTTTATTTTCTAAGTTATTGATCAATATAATGTCTAATTTTATAAAACAAAATAAAAGTTTATAACTAAAACAGCTAAAAAAATATATCGTAAATTGCGTGCTCGGGATACCGGGAGTTATCCTTATAAAAGACATCAACGCGCTACGATACCTAAACGTTTAAAAAATTGGCAACATAAAATGCAATTGTTGTAATTATATATAAAAAACGAAGAGTAAAAGTGGATAGTAATCAAATATTATAATTTATACTATACTACAATTTGTACTAAATAGAGTCTGCTAGTTCTAGTTAGTATATTTGTGACATCGATATATTTTATTGACAAACCAAACTTAGGTAATACATTTTATTTTAAATACAATAAAACTAAACTCAAAAATAAACCTACTAATAATCATTAAATATTTTAATCATAAATCTACGTTTGTCTTTCTTGAGTTTTAATAGAAAGATTAAGATGAAATATTTTTTAAAACGAAGTAATTCAGAATCTTCTAGAAATTATTATTAACATTCTAGGCAACTAAAATGATGGATGTATTAACGTAATTAAAAATTTACCTAATACACTAAATACTTCAAAACCACATTTATATAGAAAGAAAATTAAATTCTCAAAGATCGTACACAAGTCAAAGTAATATTTTATATAAACATTGATATATATCTATTATTAAAAAATTGTAATCTATTTATCTTAGAGTAAGTTTGTAAGTATGGATGGATGTTTGTTACTATTTCACGCAAAAACTACTGAACGGATTTTGATAAAACTTTACAGTAATATAGCTTATAGATTAGACTAACACACAGGCTATAAAAATTATGCGGATAAAACCGCGGGCACAGTTAGCTTATAAAAAATCTAGAAGATGCTTCCAAAAATAAAATAGTCGTAATGAATAAAGACAAAAATAAACATCTAATAAATATTTTCTTCTATTAATAAATGTGTGAATTCGTAATCTATTTCAAATACTCAGTTTCACTTCAAACGGCACGCGTTATAATATAAAGCGGGTCAATAAACACCTATGTGACAATTGGACGTTTCACGTTTTCAACAGAATTCCATGTCAATATAAATTGTCGCTAAAAACGTAATGCCTTATTCATTCTGCTTACATCAACACAATTTAAAGCAACTACGCTATTTTTATTTTGAACTAGCTGTAACCACGATATCGTCCGCGTGGAATTTAACTTTATTTTTCTAAAATAGAAGCCTAAGTTACTCCTTATTACATACTAAACAGAGTCCCGCCAAAATCGGAGATTAACTGGAACAAACAGACATACAGACAAAATATGTTATTTCAGTATATTTTTATTATATATATGAATATTAATGCATGTAGTAAAAAACGGTTATTTCAATTTTACAAACAGACACTCCAATTTTATTTATATGTATAGAATTGCAGTTCGTGTGGTATTTTACTTTTCTTTTAAATTACAATAAATAACATTTTTAAAATAAAAGTACTCCAAGTCAATCCTTATCAACAATATCTAAGACAATCCTTACCTCTGTAGTGAAAGTTAAAGATTAACCTATTTTAAAAACAAGGGCTAAATGTTAATATTACTTATATACTTTTACAATTTAATTTTAAATACAGTTAAAATTATTTAACAACAATCTCTGCACTAAACTCGAGGCTTCTGTAATAATAATCAGATATTTTAACTTAATACAAGCTTCAGTCCAACTAAGAACAAAAGTAACATACATTACCTCTGAAAATCTTTACTTAATATAAAATGAAGTAGGCTGTTCACTTATATCTTTAAAAATACGTAACGGATTTTAATGCTATTTTTAGCAATAGATAGAGTGATTCAAGAAGAAGGTACATATGTATAATTCATGTAAAGTGATTGTAATGCAGTTTTTAACAATAGATAGAGTGATTCAAGAAGGTTTATATGTATAATACATATACGCCCATACGAAGCGCGTGTAGTTAGTAATATATAAAAAGAACAATAAAAAAAGAGGAAAGTATTTGTGTAAACTGAATGTATGTAAGAGTGAGTGTATACGTGTATTTGTGAAAAACAAAAATTGATAGTAATTTCTCACGCTAATTTCTGAAACGGTTTTAACGTTTTTAGATGTGGTTTTCACTAATATATTGTAATAGGCTTCGCTTCCAGGTATCGTATACCGTAATATCAGTGCCTCGTCTCGATCTTTCAATAGAAATACAATATACAAGCTGCTTCGTGGTTAATATAGACTGAGGTAGAAAGATGACCCATGCAGATAACTTTTTACATAGTCTGCCTTAGTACAGATATAATACTTTTGAATAAACATAAATATTTTATACACACACATAGATGTAAAATAATAATAGATTATTACATGGCCTTAATACCGATGGTCGCGGGTTCGATTCCTCGCACGACACATTTGTCTTCATGAGTGTGATTGTTTATATAGGTCTGGGTGTTTTCTATGTACAACATATATGTATTTACGAAAGGAAATCTATTTATTTGTATCAGTTATCTAGTACCCATAACACATGCTTTAGCTAGCTTAACTTGGGTCTAGATGCCGCTATGTGAATTGTCCTATGATTATTTATTTATTTATTTATTTACGTCACACTAAGTGAGCTTTACAGTTTCCCAATATGCCCACTTAGGAAGATTGTATATATGTATATACACACTTATAAAACACTAGTTACTAATACATACACTAATTACACAAGAAAAAAAAAATTATTATATATAATAATTATTTTTATCATTATGCCTATTTTTATTGTATTATTTATTACTACTTCACATTAATATTACAAATATGAATTGAATTAACATACAGAAAAAAATCGAAACTCGAACACACAACCTTTGCCGTGTTCTAAAATTCCACTCGAAATGTTTTGAGATGTTATCTCTTCTAATATAGGCAAAATCGTAAACCGCATGATTTATAAGAACATTAAGTATATATTATTTATAACGTTTCTGTCGTAAGAATACTCAATCTATTATACGAACAATATTTTTTTAATCTTCATTAACTAATCATTTTATCATATTAGTTTAGTTACAATAGTGTTCAGGATAGATTTGGTGGTAATCTAGTTAGTTACACTTTCACTGACACCAATGTATTTACGGAAAATCTAACTATGGTTAGTAACAATCAGTTAATTATGACTATTATTGGTATAAACAGCGAAGTTCTACCACATATACTATTAGACTAGCTGTGGTCGCAGATTCACTAGCCTGAAATCACTATAAAGTTTTATCAAAATCCGTTCTGTAGCTTTTGCGTGAAAGTTTAATAAACATCTATTTAAAAGTTTTAAAAAATAAATCTAAGAAGTTCAAGTGAAATCTTTAATATCTACACACTATCATCTATTGAAGACATCGCCATGTGTCTATGCAACGAAAGGGTTCGATAATGATTATTATTCTGCTCCGAAATGGCTTGACCGATTTTTATGAAAAAGTCAACACAGACATAATATAAGTAGAAAACAGCCAGATCTATACCCCTATCATCTAATGAAGATATTATCATGTTTCTATGTTTCTATATATAACATAATTTATTATTACACATAAAAATTACCCAACACCTATAGTTAATTAAAACGTACGTTTAAATCAATTCATATGCATATTCGTCAAAAAAACAATACAATTATACATTAAAACAAACAAATCGTAGTTGACCCCATTTTGGATCGAAACTATCGAACAATCCGCCATTATGTTGATTTTATAGAGATTATTAAAAACAGCAACAAAAACATGACATTACTGAGGAGACAATATGGTGGGCATGCGAACGAGTCTCACGGCGTGTGCGAGAAAAAACCAACAAACACCGCTCTGTACACGTAACATTATCTCAATGACAATGAACAATAACAATTGTTTAATAAACTTAACTCGGACAGTGCGCTTAAACGCCACCACATGCTTAGCCATACTACGACGGCCTCGGTGATTTAGCGGTAGCACTTTACTTCTGATGATTGTGGATTTGATTCCGCACGGTGCAAAATAGAGTGTATTATTGTTGGTATCGGTATTGGTGTGTTCTATGTATTTATAAAAAAAAGTATGTAAGTATTTATAATAATCAGTTGTCTAGTGCCCATTATATGCTGCTTATCGCAGGACTAGATGGCGCTGTGTTAATTGTCCAGAATTATTTATTATTATACCACTACTATACTTTTTTTTTTATTATTACGCTCTTACTTTCCATAGACCATTATGTCCATGCCCTTTTTTGTTTATTTTTATAATCTTTTATTTATTCTTTTTATTCTACCTTTCATCTTTTCTACGAAAATAATATTTTAAATTTGTGTATGGTGTGTAAATATTTTTCATCACTACTATACTTAATATACTAAGACTTAGAAAAACTTGATTTTCATAATCAGCAAAAATATCCTAAAGAAATAAATTATTTTTGATTTAATTTCATTTGATATACGTTATATCAAATCAAATATAATTTATTGGTTACATCCTATCAAATGTAATCAAAAGTTTATTAAAATCAAATTTCCTAAATATCTAATTACATATATAAAGCAACTTGCTGTGTCGGTTAAAGATGAGATTAGAGAGTGAATTTGCAGGATAAGAGAATTACTTATTTTTCTTCTTCTTTTTACGGAAATTGCGCGGACCTAGTATCAAAATTTCGCACACTTATAGTTTATATAGATGAGAGGAATGCAAAATGCTAATATGTTTTTTATATTACTTTTAATAAATATATGTTAAAAGTATTTTTGAAATTTATTAACACTAAAAGAATGTAACGGATTATTGAATAGTGCAATAACAATATGAATGCAAATTAACAATCCTATTTAGTAGATAAATGTTATAAAATACCATAAATGAATAAAAAGATGTAAATTTATAAGTTTATTCAACAATACCATTGTTTACACTGAACCC